TTATTGGGAGTAAAACGATGTGAATTCACAGAGGGTGTATAGAGATCAGAGGATAACTTTCAGGATCTGGTTCTCTCCTTGTACCATGTGGGGTCCAGGGATTGAACTCAGGTTGTCAGCCTTGGTTGTAATACCTTTACCTACTTAGCCATCTTGACAGACCTATATTTTTATTTTATTTTAACGATATATTTATTCTTACGTTATGTGCACTGGCATTTTGCCCGCATGGATGTCTGTGTGAGAGTGTCAGGTCTCCTGGAACTGGAGTCACAGACAGTTGGGAACCGCCATGTGGGTGTGTCACATGGACACATAGTGTGAGGTGCTAGAAGTATAGTTAAATCAGTTTTAGAAGCTGTTAAAAAGTCTGTCTGAATCTCAAATAAAAAATTCTTTTAATGATATTTTAATGAAACTCAAGTCATCAAATCAAACATTATTAAAGAGGAAAAACAGGCAGTGAGCTTATGTTATCTACACCTCCAATCCCAGCATTCCAGGCGAAGAGGATGGCAGATCTCTCTGAGTTTGAGGCTTGCTTGGTCTACATAGCAAGCTCCAGACTAGCTAAGACTATATAGTGAGACCTTGTCTCAGAAAGAAGAAAAAAGAAAACAAATCAATTGCTATAATAATTCCAAAGATAGACCAATTTGATAGATGCATGCTGAGGAATGATGGTAAGAAGAATATTTAAATTCTTGTTACTAAACAGTTATGTTTCTGCAAGGGCAAGAAACTTAGTAGTGAAGACACGCCCCTTCATACTGTCCCAAGTTTCAAATCACAGCTGAGGTGTTTGGTGCAGCAGCCCTGACACTGTGGGGGATGAGAGCACAAAGCACGAGAAAGCCACGTGCACACATTGTGAGTTCAGAGCCAAGGCTGTAGTGAGGTATTCAGAATAGCACAGGTGAGCCCTGCCCTGATCACTTCAGATTCATTATCCATTTGATTCTGAATCAACTTTGAACATGTTGAACATTCAGAATATTGTTGATTGTTGATCAAGAAACTTTTACGATTGCCAGATTTCTAGTGATGGCCTCCCCATCCCCCAACCCATACAACTCCCTTTGGGAGCATGCCGGCAGTTTAAGAAGCTGTGACTTAATATAACCACCCAGAGACTCTGCTTTAAAGCAGAGTAGGATTGGGAAGGTGTGGAAATGTGACGTTGAATGCTAACAGTACAGCAGCAGCACAATGGGCAGCATCCCAAGCTTCATCTCAAAAGCTGCGAAGGAGCTGAATAAATGGCAGAGCTATTAGGAAAGAGAAAGGCCGAAGTGGCTTGCATGGGGGTCTGCACAGACCATGCAGTGAGGCTAAGACTGGCTCATGGAGCCAGGAAGAGAGTGCAGGCTGACTGTTGGCCTGTCTTGTCCCCCGCCTCTCCTGTTGTCTTCCTCATTCCTGACTTCTTGGCAGGTTGAGTTCTCAGAGTTCCGCCATACCCCATGACCAACTCTGCAAAGTCACTCACTCTGCCTGAGTTAGAGTCACACAGAGCACTGCAGAGCCCCACCCTGTGAGAAAGAAGCACTCTCTGCGGTGCCACTCACCTCCAGCCACAGGGCCACCATCTGGCTTGTCATCTGTTGTACTTGCCACAGCCCAAGATGTCTCAGAGCATGGCATAACTATACCTAACCAAACAGTCTGTCTGTCCAGGTGTCCAGCTAGCCAGCCTGTCTTGATGTCTGTCATGGTATAAGGGTGTGTGGAGATGCTTGGGGGGCTGCCTAGAAGCAGGAGTTGAGGGATATCCCTGGGTAGCATGGAGGTCCAGCTGATCTGTACCAGGGTTCAGCCTTCTGTTCATTATTCATGTGCAGCTGAAGTTCAGACAAAAGACTGCAGATCCCTGACCGAGAACACAGATGGTAAAAAGGGAGCTGGAGAAAGTGAGCACCAGAGAGTGAGGCTAACCCTAGGCTCAACTAATCACATAGATGCCTGGCCTCTAGCTCCCAATTTCTCTAAAGGAAGAGACTCCCTGGTCAGTAATAAAGCCCAGGGCACCACATAACAGAAGGGCTAACTGGTAGAAAAATCCCCATGACCCACTTGGGGAGGTATCAGTGTGACATGGCAAAGCCCTGACCTGGACAAACCACTTTCCTCTCCAGTGCTCTCAAGACATCTGGGAGCACAGAGCCTGTAGACCAGAGTTTAGAATATCACAGAATGGCCCAAGTGCTCAGTTTGCATCACAGGCAGGTCCCTTGGATGTTTGCAGCCAAAAACCACAGAGTGATTTTAACTCTGTGTGTCCTACAACCAAGAACCCATGACTCAGAGCTAGCAAAAGGTGATCCTGTCTCACATGGCCCCGCCAGTGATGTCTGGAAAGGCTAAAAGTGGCCTGTCCTGTAGTCTTGCCCCAATGCCCTAGGCCCTTTCTCATAATGAAATTGTGAGCAAGCCACATAGTCCTACGTGCCACAGACTGATATGCCCATCATGTGCACTAGAGGGTTTTGTAAAGTGTCCTTGCTCAGGCATGAAGGACGTTACCCCGGTGCCGCCTGTCTAGATGGCAGAATTTGAGCAGCTGCCCCTCGAAGGGTTGATTTCTAGAACCACTTGAGTGATATGGTAGGGTCCTGCTTGGAAACCTCAAGGCTGGTCACAGGTCTGACTTTAGATGGTAGCAGGAAGTCCTGTAGACTGGGGATATAGGTACACATGGGTGGGGCGTCAGGGATCACTGGCCTTGTAGTTGCTGTTGTCTCTGTCCAAGAAGAGCAAGTGTGTGAGCTGAGGTAGAGTGGTCGGCACAAACGGGAGCAAAGCTCACGGAGGGGAGCAGATGAGAGGAAGAGACCAGCAGCAGCCCTCCCTCCAAGCTCCTGGGCACACAGCCAGACAGCCCTGTCCCAAGCCAGAGGGTTAGGGACCAGCTTCCCTCAGGAAATGCTGACTTATGGCTGCTTTGTTCTATTTCATTTCAGTCTCAGTGTGTGTTAGAATGTGTTAGCAACCAGAATTACCCATCCAGGCTGTTTTCCAAAATTTCATCTTGCTACTTATTATCAAGAAGCATCTCTGATTTTTCTGGTGGTTGAACAACAGTTGTTGCTCAAATTCACGGATCAGCTACCTGCAAATGCCATGTTAATTACAAAGGACTTTTTTCTCTTTTTGTGACAGGGGTCTCACTGTGTAGCCCTGGGTAGCCTGGATCAGCACCCAAGTGCTAGGATTACAGTCATCCACCACCAGCCCAGCTTAGGAAACTATTTTTAAATTGTCTAGGGATCTTATGCAGAGTAGTAGGCTTACATAGGTGGGGACCTTAGGCACAGGTAAAGGGAAGATGAGGGGTACTCAGGGCAGGAGCAGCTGAGGCTACCATGCATCACATAGATGTGGGCAGGGAGGAAGTTATAGAGGCCCTATTCGTTCTGTTGGCCTGGCCTCAGAAGGTGGAGAGTGGGAAGAACAGATGTCTGCACAGATGTTCCTGGGATGACCTGCTGGAGCTGAAAAAGCAGGAAAAGGAGGCAGGAGTGTGCACATATTGCAAGGGATGGTCAGGCTCTTCAGAATCTTCATGGTTTAGAATGGTCTGGGTCTGGAATTGGCTGTTTTCAGAGCCTAGTGAGAGGTACTAGGCAGGAGCTCTTGCCTACACCTGGCCCCACCCCAGAAGACCTGAGGCTTCCAGGGCTGGGCAAAGCCACAGCCCATGTGAGGAGCTTAGGGGAGCCTTGAGGTTACTAGGTCTCCTGCTTAGCCAGAATACTCATAGGATGTACAGGGAGAGCTCTCCACTGACACATCACAGAGACCCACATTCAGACAGCTGACCTCCCACAAGACATCTAGCTCCTTAGAGTGCATTCATCTTTTTTTTTTGTTTTTGTTTTTTTTTTTTGTTTTTTTGAGACAGGGTTTCTCTGTGTAGTCCTGGCTGTCCTGGAACTCACTCTGTAGACCAGGCTGGCCTCGAACTCAGAAATCCGCCTGCCTCTGCCTCCCGAGTGCTGGGATTAAAGGCATGCGCCACCACCGCCCGGCTGCATTCATCTTTGATCTTCTCAATAAAGGGCTCCCTGCCTGTCAAGGCCCAAGGGAAGGGGCTGAGCTGTCCCATTGTAAGCTTGGGTGCCTCTGCTCATGAGAGGGGGATAGTGTTCTCCTGCCTGGTCTGCAAGCCCTCTGTTGGCCAGGAACAGGGCTGAGGTGGTTGCACTGGGCACATTGCTCAGGATTTCCAGGAAGTCCCCTTAACACTGAGCAGATGTCCACCTACGTCTCGTGCTTTCTAAAGATCAACGTCATCTTCCGACAGCCACCATCTGACCTATAGCCTCCAAGGCAGTTTGTAGGAGACTGGACACTTATTAGCCAGACCTCTTAACTGTTTTAGGGGATCGTTACCAGGAAAGAACTCTCATGTCAACTGAAGTGTCGATTTTAGGTAGCATCTTCATATTTATGCACTCTTTCTTCTTGTACTCTCAAACCTGCGTGCTATTTAAAGTGAAGTTCCCAATTCCCAGGGTAGTATACAGACCCCAGAACAAGAGAGCTAGGAAAGGAAAAGGCCACCATGAGGGTGGGGGAGGTAACACTCTGCCCTTTGCTGTCACGTGCCTCCTCTGGTCTCCCAGACATGCCAGCCAGAGTCTCCTGTACTTTCCCAAACACCCTGACCACCTCAGCAATTAAGACAGAACTCACCCACATGTTCTTCTTGTTTTACTCATTAGTAATATTTATTTTCAGCCAAGGGAAAATGATTTGATTAGGATACACATCTTTCGTCCTTCAGCCACATCTAAATGGCAGAGAAAGAGCCTATAGCCACATGAAGTGACCTCCCTGTGAAGGAAGCCATAGGCAGAGTCTAGGCTCAACAGTGGGGCTCTGTAACATTGCTTTTCAGGGTGGGCAGGAGGTGCAGGTTCCCTGCCACCACCCCCAGGATGGGCACAACCTCCCCTCACCTAACCACTGGAAGATGACAGAAAAATAAGAAGACTTACGTTTGACAGTGCCTCGGGACTCCTGGAAACCTGCTGATTCAGAGCCCCATCCTAGCACCTCACAGTCATGGGTGTCCACCTGTCCAGTTCGAGTCCCAGGGTTTGTGCCTCCTTTACCCTTGTCCACCAGCCAGCAGGACTTCCACAGCCCCACACTCCGCTTGCGTCCATCCTCCAGTGTCTGGTACACCCAGTTGGGGGTAAAGGCTGCTGCGTTGTTGAGGATGAGGGAGACCAGGGCCACCAGCACAGCTGTGGCCACAAGCTTCTGGACAGTCATATCTGACTGCCAGTACTGTCTATCTCGGAGAAAGTCCCAAGTCCCAGTCAGCCGCTGTGCATCCAGAGAAAGCCAAGATGCTGCTAGGGGTGGCTAGAGAACATCACCACTCATCCTTGAGAAGCTATGCAGCAGCTCCAGCCAGGCACATGAGAATGTCGGAGGTACGGGGAGAAGCCCATGGGACAGGTCCAAGCGAGCTACTCACAGCCCTGTCTTATCCTGCCTCTTGAGCCTGGAGCAGGGACAAGCCTGTGCTGAAGCTGGTCTCCCCAAGACCCATTCCAGGGAGAAATCTGGGGCACTGGCTGCACCAGCAAGAATCCAGAGTTGTAAGTGGGCGTCTTCTTTGGAGCAGAGGCCAGGGAGGCTGTGTCCACAGTGCCTCTTGCCTACAGCAGTGGAAAACGGACAGTAACTCAGGAGGCAGGCACAGCGTGGGAATCAGCTGGGTCACACTCCTCAGAATGGGCTGTGGGAGCCAGTCTGATGGAGGAGCAGGGTTGTGGAAGCAATGTGGGTTTGGCCACCTCTCTGCTGCCTGTCCCGTCTTGGTACCTCTGCTACAAATGGCAGATCCTGAAAAGCAGAACGACTGCCACAAGGAAACGTGTGTATGCGCGTATGTGTGTGAGCTCCAGTTTCCCTGTCTCTCAGCAGAGAGGAAATGGTTGTTTTTGAGGCTGTTTTTGGTGAGCAGGAGGGCGTAGCCAACTGCAACAAATAGCAGCCCTGCCACAGAGCCAGACACTAACAGGATGTGCTTCCTGATGGGAAAGGCCTGGGGAGACTTCAGAGGCCTGCTCCAGCCCACCCCTGGCTGCCCCTCCCCATCTTCCTGTCTCATAGGAATAGTCAGGGATGCCAGCCAGGACACTCATCTTCCTACCTGTTGCTGTCAAAGCTAGCCAGCTGTGCTAGGTCCAGGATCAGGAGATGCTACAGACACCACAGGCAGGCAGAATCCTAAGGGACTAGGTGTCCAACTGTCCATCCGTCCATCCATTGCCCAAGGCATGATAAGCGCTTTGAATCCCCAATGTCTACAGCAGTGGTTCTCAAGTCTGTAGTCATGACCTCTTTTGGGGTCAAGTGACCCTTTTACAGGTATCACCTGAGACCATCAGAAAACACAGAGATCTACAGTACAGTTCATAACAGTAGCAACATTACAATTGTGAAGTAGCCACGAACTAATTTTATGGTTGGGGGTCACCACAACACATGGAACTGTGTTAAAGTGTTGCAGCATTAGGAAGGTTGACAGCCACTGGTCTACCACCTTTCCTCCCTACGGGGGCTCTACCTCTGAATGACAGGACAGAGTAGGGCGTGGAGGCACCTGAGGTAGGCCACCATCTGCTGACAGAGACCCATTCACCTCAGGTGTGCTCAGACCTTACAAGGAAGGGCCCCTACTTGAGGAAACTCTGCCAGGGGTTCTTGTAGTGGCAAGAAGAGGTGGAATTCTGGGAGGGAACAGTGTCACTGTGCAGGCTGGATAGCTAATGTGGCTTCTGAGCAGCCAGGTTTGCTAACAGTGATCGCTCCCCTGAGGCTGGACAGAGTGACTATACATTTGATCTCCTCATAACTTTTCAGCTCTCATAGATAAAAGTACCCCCAGGTCTGAGACTCTGTGTCCCACCTCCAGAGCCTCCCATCCGGGTTCCAGAGCTGTATAAATGAACACAAGAATATAGGTGCTATGGGCTGTCTCAAGCACACGTACCAGGGCAGTATTTGGACACAGTCTGGTGCTGACTAGTGCACTGGCCATAAGAGGTCATAGTCGGCCTTTCCTGTCTTCATGCACTGACATGCTAGGCCACCCCGTACTTCCTAGTGTTGCTGCCTTCAATCACATGTTCCCATATATAGTCAGTCTCCTGGTACTCCATAAGTTTACATTCCAAAGGCAAAGACTCTGTCTCTGTCCAGCCGTTTGACTGTCATCAGTCCTGAGAATGTAAGCCCTCTGAGGGGTTGTACGATTTTTCGCCTTCAAGTTTGTAGCCAGTGTCACTGTGGCTTATTTATATTTTCTATTCTCCTTGGTCTAGGTCTGAAGGAAATTTACACTTCATTCCAGTTCTCTGGGCCCAGCCTGTCCATGGGGTATCTTCTAAGAGGAGGAACTTGACCAGCAGTGTGGGGTGCCATCTACCCTCAGCTCATGCTATATGACTCCAAAGACACTAAGTGGCACCGCTGCCATTGTTTCTGCCTGTGCCTCCCCCAGAGGCAGAATTAGGGTGCAACATCTCCTACACAACACTTCAAAGATGAAGTATTTGAGAGATCGCCCAAAGTTTCGGTTAAGAGAAAATCTATTTCCCTCCTTAACTAAACCAGTTATCTTTGGGTAGTTAGTTATTAAATGGCTAATTTCCAGTGAGAACCAGGAGGCTGTTCTAAGAGTTCTCTAACTCCCAAGCTAATGAGATCCTTCTGCCTCAACTTCGTACAGCTGGTCCTGAAGGCTGCAGGACAGAGCAGTGAGATGATCTTGCACCGGTTCTGTCTTTTAACTTTCCTGAGCTGGGGAGGAGGCCAGGGCCTGGATCTCAACCTGTGCTTCTAGGAGCTTCTGCCATACCTCCAGGTGTCTCTGCCCTAAACCATCTGCCATCGGCGTGGGAGGGTAGACAGGGGAAAGATGGAGTTAGAAGGGTCCTCTCTTGAGATATGAAGCTCCTGTGTGGCTGGTAGGAAGTCCCTCACCCAGAGGGTGACCTTCTGTTGCCTTGAGTCAAGCCTTAAATTGTTACTGTAGCTGCATGCTCATCTAGCCCCCGCCCCCAGCCCTGCACCACCACCACCACCACGGGTTCTCAAATGCACGCACACACACATGCATACATACACACACCACATACACACACATATACACACATACCACACACACATAGATAGATGTCTGGGGAGCATCACACGTGTAGCCTTGCTGGTCTCCTACTTGCTCACTCAGGACAGGTCCAGCTGACCATAGGTCCTCCCAGAAAGCAGGCCCATGGCAGAGCCAGCTCCCTCTGTGGCCGCATCTGCTTCTCATCCAGGCGCCTGTAAGCTGATGAAGTACAGATGTGATTCCTTTCCACAGTGTAACTCAGACAACAGGAAATTCTCAAGACTTGGACGGGACTGGGAGGGTGTTTACTTCTTGGAATTTATGCCAGATGCACACATCCCAGAACTCTACACCAGAGTTGGAGCCGTCCCGTCCTTGGAGTGAAGTTGTCAGGGAGTTGTATACAGAGAATGTCAGGAATCTTGTGGGAGTTGAGATGGTCCTGGACCAGAGGCAGCCACAGAGAATACAGTGTGCATTTGTAGAGAAGGCTGGAAGCCATTTCTTGGGCCCAGGCCCTCCCCATGTTTGGTGCACAGCAACCTCAACTTGGTAATAGAGGGCCTTTACTGACATTTAAGAAGCCCTCCTCCCAAATTCTTTCAGCCTGGCAGGGCCTCCAGCATAGGCTCTTCAGATCTGTTTGAAGAGGCCTTTGTCCAGAGGCCTTTGTGAAAATAGTGGGCATTTCAATGATGTCACATGAAGGGCCAGGGAGGCCCAGCAACACCAAGGCAAGCCCCAGTCTCCTACTCAACAAGAGAACCACTCGCCTTGTGCATGCCTTCCTGGTGGGCAAAGAAAATCCAGGGCACATACCAGCCAGCTTTGGGGTGTGTGTGTGTGTGTGTGTGTGTGTGTGTGTGTGTGTGTGTATATGTTGCTTTCTAGACAGTGCAGAAGCAGAGGGGCTACCCAGGGAAGTAGAGGCAGCCAAGAGGCTGTGTCCTCCCCCTCCCTCCATCCAGACCCACACCAGGCCTTAGGCAACAAGAGACTATTTCTTTTGGTTTGGTTACATTTTCTTGAGCCTCACCATGTAGTCCTAGCTGTCCTGACATTTACTGTGTAGACCAGGCTGGCCTCAAACTCACAGAGATTCACTTGCCTCTGCCTCCTGAGTGCTGGGATTAAAGGTGTGTATCACTATGTCTGGCTTTGTAAACACTTTTAAGAGTATAAGCACACAAATTAGTTAGAAACAGGGTTTTTTTTTTTTCTTTTTGTGTTTGTTTTTTTGTTTTTCTGAGATGGTTTTTCTGTGTAGCCTTGTCTGTCCTGGAACTTGCTCTGTAGATCAGACTGTGGCCTCTAACTCACAGAGATCCGCCTGCTTCTGCCTCCTGAGAGCTGGGACTAAAGGTGTGCACCACCACCGTCCAGCTCAAGATGATTTTTTAAAGAGTCTAATATATAGCTACCATCTTGCTGTAGACACAACTGCCCGTCCCTCAGATTGAGCTAGCCCAGCTGGCTTGGGAACGCACTGGCAGACCCTTGTCTGTTCTCAAAGTTCTGTATCGCTCACTGGAATTGTGCCAGGAGAACCAAGAATTTCCCTTGAGATTCCAAACTTAGCAGTGGATGACATTTCTAGGAACAGCAGAGACTTAAAGAACCCTGTTCCACAAGGTTTGTGGCTATCCCACAGCATCAGACATGAGGCCCGGAGCGCCCTGTGAGAGACCAAACAAAAGGGCAGTAGGGAGTTGTCATTTAAAGAGTGAGGCTTATTGCCTGCGGCCCTAGATGACCAGCCTCTAACACTGATGTGCGGTATGGTCTGGTCATAGTTGCTGCTGGATGCTGCCCCCGCTGGGGCCATGTGGCATTGAGCAGATTTTGGCCACATATGCTGCCTCACAGCTACCATGAGTCATTTGAATTCCAAAGCCAAAAGCAGAAGGACAGAAAGTCCACCTGCTGCAACAGTAAGTCAGAAAGTTGCTGCCCAATGACTGGCATCTCTTAGAGGTTGTCAGCTCAGCTCATGTGTCACCGCCTCCACGACAGCTCTTCCGTGTCCTCGAAATTGCAGACTAGAGTGTGAGAAGCACCAGGAGAGGCTGAGAAGCCTACAATGGAGAAGGGCTGAAGCCCTCCACAGCTGGCTAGGTTTGGGCTGGGATTTAGGGGTGCATGCTTCCCTCTCTCCTAGCCTGGCACCTTGACCCCGTGTTGCTGTCATGTAACTCTGATCAGACCTCACCCCCTACGAGCAGTAGCCACTAAAGGTGCATCACTGCTAAAATGAGTACATGCTTGCCGTCCTGTTACTTAATACACATACTTATGGAGTCAATCAGAGTTCCTACAGGACCCAGACAGGTCAAAATAACCTGTCGACAGAATATGCTAACTTGAAGGAAAGGACACCTGGATATGTCAAATTCCAACCACAGACACCCATACATGTTGTGGCGGCCACTCCTACCCCAGCCATTGTCTGAGCTAACATAGGTGGTACTTTCCCTCCAATTCTGTTCAAACCAGGGACTCTAAGATATGGGTCATCTAGCTGCCCACAGTACAACTTGGCCCAACAGATGGAGAACTCTCTTCCCCATCTTTCTTTATGGGCAGGTCATTAGGAAAATGTTCACAAAATTGTGCTATCGCCTCACTCATCAAAACAGCAGCTAGCCTTGTGTGGGCAGCTGCCCTCCAAGCTCCTTAGTTCTGCCACATCTGTGTGGCCAGAGAAAGGACAGACCTGCCCTGCCGTACTTCCTGGCTCTAGCCAGGCTTTCTCTGGAGGGGAGCCACTGGAATGTGATGGGAAGGGCTGAGGTAAATGCGTCTACATGGATGCTCCTGTCTTCACATCCCCTGAGGCCTCATGGCTGGCTGCTCTTCATGGTTTGCACTCTGTATCTCTGTCTCTGTCTCTCTCAGTGTGTGTGTGTGTGTACGCGCGCGCGTGTGTGTGCCTGTGCTGCAACACTGCTGTGATCTTTCAATATTAAGAACCTATTCCTGTTAGTTAAACTGGCTCCCTTTTCCACCTCTCTTCAGTATTTGTCCTGAGCTCTATGTTTACAAAAGGCTTGTATGTCTGAGGCAGGGGCTCTCCAAGAAGATCCAGGCTTACAGTGGAATACCACAAAATGAGGGGCAAGGAATGATCCACTGTCCAGCCACACATCAGGAGCTAGCCCTGCTTCAGGCCCCTAGATTAAATTGGGGTTGTGGGCTTCCCCCACCACCTTCCAAAACACCAAGTGTCTAGAAGTGGTGGAAGGCTGTCATGGCCCCTTCTTCCCGTAGGGTTCCCGACACTGGGAATAGTTGAGGGAAGTTCCTTAGAGTACCTTGCTCAATTGTGAGCAAGAGGTTCTTTGACATGACCCAGTGTGTGCTCACAATTAGGAAAGCCATTGTCGCTGAGCAGACAAAGTAACACAGAGGTATAGGTGCTCCTGTCTTCACAGAAGACTATCTGTTCCCTTTGTCCTCCCCAGAGGCCTTCAAGATCAAGGATACTATGTAAGACATGCTGGGGAAGACTCAGGATACCTCTTTCCATCCTTATTTTTGAGCAGTAGGCATGTGGTGCCTAGTCTTCAGTCTTACTATGTAGGCTATATACAGTACTATGTAGGGCCCCCTGCTTGACGGTTATGTGCACTGTCAGCTGCGGAGAAGGGGTAGTGGACACCCTAAACTCTGAGTTGGAAGCTGACAGAGCTTACTCTCCTCTGTCTACAGTGAGACTGTCTGGGAGAACATGGCACGCATGTGTGTGAAGACTCAGAGGCTGGATGTTGCCAAGGTGTGCCTGGGGAACATGGGCCATGCCCGTGGGGCCAGAGCACTGCGGGAAGCTGAGCAGGAGCCAGAACTGGAAGCCAGAGTGGCCATGCTGGCCATACAGCTGGGCATGCTGGTGAGTAGTCCCCGTTTCAGACAGACAGAATGAATTCCTTCATTGCCAAACTGAGCCTGCAGTAAAAAGGGCAGAGATTGCCAAGTATAGACCCTCGTCAGCTAGAGTCTAGAAACACAGGGCCAAGGAGATGGGGGTGAGGGGCTGGCAAGTGAATAGGCAGTCTGGCTTCTGGTCTCCTGGGGCCTGCAGAAGGGAGACAGGTTATTCCTGCCAGGTGTCTAACTACAAACAGAAGTCCCTCAGAATAACCTAAACCATCAGCTTGGTTTCTTAAGGCCTCTGGTCTCAGCTGGGCAACCTCCTCCCTCCTTCAGTCGCAGCTCACCACATACTTGCTTTCCCAGAGGAAAGATACTGACATGCTCCACACAGTCAGAGGCCACAGCCTTGACTTAGGACAGACCTCGGAGCAGGGAGTTGTGGGGGGCAGGTATTCCACCCACACTTATGCTGCATAGTAGGAGCACCCCCAGAGGATATCCTTATTTGTAGCGGAACACAGGAGTTCTGTAGGACCCCACCAGAGGCCAGCTGGGCTGTAGCAAGGTTAGACATTCCCTTGGCAATGTACAGGTCTCACTGTAACAGGTGACTGGCGTGTCACTTGGGTGCACGTTGCCTTTCTTGCTGTGCAGCCCTGTGCATGGTGTGTGCTCAAGTGTGTGCTCTCAAGGCGTGCTGCGCTTCTCTGTCATGAGCTCGTTGGGACAGCTAGTGTCCTGTTCTGTGACATGAACGTCACAGCAGAGTTACACTCTGACAGCCCCCTGTGACCATCACCCTTTTTCCTAGAATGATCTTTTAAACCATCAGCACTGCGGCCGATGCATGACCTCTTTCTACCCCCCCTTCCCCCAGGAGGAGGCTGAACAGCTGTATAAGAAGTGCAAACGCTACGACCTCCTGAACAAGTTCTACCAGGCCTCAGACCAGTGGCAGAAAGCTGTGGAGGTGGCGGAGCTCCATGACCGTGTCCACCTGCGCACCACCTACTACAACTACGCCAAGCACCTGGAGGCCAGCGCTGACTGTGGCCTGGCTCTCAGTTAGTGAGTGGGACATGGGCAGGCAGGGGTCCTGGCTGTGACTGCCCCCTCATCTGCCCCTAGGTGATATTTGATGGCCCTGGCAGTTCTAAAAGGAAGATCTGCCTCAGGACGGCCCATGTGATCCCCCATAGGAGCCATCCAGGAGCCTGGTTCTCTTGTGGCGGGAGGGGATGTTTGATCCTGTGTGTCAGTCAATGTGGTACATACCAGGCTGGGGAACCCCTGGAGAAAAATGTGCCACAGGGATACAGCCACAGGAAACCCATTCCAAATTGGGGTGAGCTGTGCTTAGTCATGTTCATGATCGAGAGTTTTAATGATGGACTCTGAGGTATGGCTAACATTCTGGTCCACATAGCACAAAACATACAACAGTGCACAGACCACAGGGCTGCAGGCCAGGTGTGCTCTCAGTCTGCTGCCTGTACTCTATGACAGAGCCCCTGATCATGAGGTAAAATGGGACAATTTCTCCTTCCACAGTTATGAGAAGTCAGACACCCAACGTTTTGAGGTACCCAGGATGCTCTCAGAAGACCTGCAGTCACTGGAGCTCTACATCAATAGGATGAAAGACAAGTAAGTGTCCCCACTGGGACAGCACCTCCCAGGTGTGCAGGCTTGCCATGAGGTCTTGTGGGTGTTTTTCCATGTCAGAATGGGGAATACCCACCTGATCCAAGAGACTCCAGATCTGTCCCTTCCAGTCTCATGCTACAGTGGTGCAGGGTGTCAGTTCCAGTGGGAGTGAGACCCTAAGCTCTAAGGGTTATTATACAGGACCCTGTGGAGATGGTGGGCCCAGTACCTTGAGAGCCAGGCAGAGATGGACACTGCATTGCGCTACTACGAGCTGGCACAGGACTACTTCTCACTGGTCCGTATTCATTGCTTCCAGGGCAACATTCAGAAGGTGAGAGCAGGCGGGGAGATAGAGCACTTGCCTGGTGTGCATGAGGCCCTCAGTTGGATTCCCTGTGCATGTGTGTGTGTGTGTGTGTGTGTGTACGTGTACAATTTTAATTAAAAAAAAGAAAAGTTGGGGTGGAGAGGTAGAGAGGCAGTGTAAGAGTACTTTCTGCCTTTGCAGAGGACAGAGTTGAGTCCCCAGCACCTGTGTGGGACAGCTTGCACCCACCTGTTAACTCTGGGAGATATGGTGCCTTCCTCTGGCCTCCACAGGCACGGCATTCATATGTTCAAAGACATACACAGAACAATAAGATATTTTTGAAAATATCTTATCACACTGCATCCTGTGGGAGTGGGCCTGTTTGTGTGGAGTGAGCCTACTGGACAGAGATAAGACCTGGGTGCTCTGGGTCTTTCTAGGCTGCTGAAATAGCCAACGAGACTGGAGACTGGGCTGCATCCTACCACCTTGCCCGGCAGTACGAGAGCCAGGATGAGGTAAAACAGGCGGTACACTTCTACACGCGGGCACAGGCTTTCAACAACGCCATCCGCCTGTGCAAGGTATGTGGTTCCACCTGGGCACCAAGCAAATGATGCTCTGTTGTGCCGTACCCTGCACTGACTGGTCCTGGAACTTGACTGGGGCAACAAGGGGCGGAAATGGCAGACACACACACACAGAAAACCTGGGACTGGGTGAGCTGTGCTATCTGAGAGCATCCACTAGCAACCCAGAAATGCCACGTGTTTACTGTATACAGCGGGGGAGGAGGGGTTAGCCGGACTTGGTAAGAGCTCTGATGCAGGGGAGCAGTCTCAGGCTGTGAACACCTGGGGGAAGAAACTGCAACCAACACTTTCTGTGCACACCATCAACTTTACACAGACCAGGGAAAGGCTTTGCTGTTTCTATGGGTCTGAGGCATTGGGTTCTTCGTCATGACCTTGCCCAGTGTCAACAACACACATTCATACAGGGTTCCTCCTCTCCCCACACTGTTGCTGATTTCAGGGTTATTAAGAATGCTTCAAACAGAGGTTGAGAGCCTGTATTGTGAACACTTACATCCACTGCTGGCTTCCATGGTCACTTCTGGCTCCTCTTGCCCCGCCCTTTCCCTGCCTCCTCCAATGCTGTCATTCATACTCAGGGCTCCTAAGCCAAGAGTAAGGTGCACATAGGTTACAGCCTCGCAAATAGAGACTCATCAAAAGCTGTTGGACATTTGTATGAATACCTGCTTTAGGTCTTGTTTCTGGAGTTATCCCTATCCTCAGGTATTTGTTGTAATACTCTGTAAAATAGAACAAGGAAGTATCTAAACACCCTGGTACACAGACTGACCTAGTAAGGCCTGGAGCTTCTTAGAAACTCAGCTGGCACAGACCTGTTGGTGGTACCAACACACCCCATACAGCCGCGTTCTAATCTAAATGGGTTTGGGTATGGGAGCCAGAACTGCCGCAGAACCACACCTTCCTCCATGCAGGAGAATGGCTTAGATGACCAGCTCATGAACTTGGCCCTGTTGAGCTCCCCAGAGGACATGATCGAAGCAGCCCGGTATTATGAGGAGAAGGGCGAGCAGATGGACAGGGCTGTCATGCTGTACCATAAGGTGAGCGCTTGCCCTCGACTGGGGACCTGCAGGGACTAGAGACACCTCCCCTTGTGAAGCTCCAGGAAGCCTGACTGGGTGAGCTCAAGCAGCAGCTAAGTTTCTACCACTGCCCATAGGCCGGACACTTTTCCAAGGCCCTGGAGCTGGCCTTCACCACCCAGCAGTTTGCAGCACTGCAGCTCATAGCAGAGGACCTGGATGAGAAGTCAGATCCTGCTCTCCTGGCCCGCTGCTCGGACTTCTGCATTGAGCACAGACAGTTTGAAAAGGCTGTGGAGCTTCTATTGGCTGCCAAGAAGGTACGGGGTTGGTAAGAGCCTTGGTGGGAAATAGTTCTGCCATCTCTCTTTGGTTATAAAGTCTCAAAACAATTATGGCTACAACTTGGGCAGAAGTCAAAGGGATCCTACCAGCTCACCCAGCATAGTACATCAACACTGATGCCAGGAGGCAGCCTTACCACCCACCTCACATCTTCAGTTCTAACTAGGCAGTAAGTTCTATGCTCATTTGCATGCATGTGTGCAAGTTTGTACAAGTGTGTGTGCAATCGATGAACTGCACACAGCAGAAATGTCCCATGTTTGGGGCCTTGTGTGATTTTCAAGATGGGGTCTCTCAAGCTAGCCTCAAAATCCTCAAGTCATCCTTGTGCCTGAGCCTTTGAAGTAGCTAGAACCACATAGGGCGGGGGTTGTTGTTATTGGTTTGGTTTTGAGATAGTATCTGTCTCTAAAACCTAAAGACATGGCCTTGAACTCACTATGTAGCTGAAGCTAGCTCTAACTCACATTCTGGCCTCACCCTCTCAAGTACTAGGACTATATAGGCATGCACCTGACTTTGAGATATATGTTTTTAATGAAAAAATATACATACATTGTTGGTTTTTTTCCCCCACAGCTTCTGAGATCTGGATTGTTAATAGCATGAGGAAAAGTAACATGTCTGAGTCTGTCTGTCTATTAGCTTGGTCCTTTTTGTGCCTGACTCAACCATGGGCAGTAGCCAGTGTGGAGTCAGGGCCCAGCTTCCTCTGAAGGGGTGGCAGATATGAAGGGAAATCCTCTCGGCAGCTCAGTCATAGCCTGCCTTTGTTTCCCTGGCACTTTTGCAGTACCATGAGGCCCTGCAGCTGTGCCTCGAGCAGAACATGACCATCACTGAGGAGATGGCAGAGAAGATGACTGTGTCCAAGGACTCGAAGGACCTGTCTGAGGAGTCACGGCGTGAGCTGCTAGAGCAGATTGCAAACTGCTGTATGCGCCAGGGCAACTATCACCTGGCCACCAAGAAGTACACACAAGCTGGGAACAAGCTGAAGGTGAGTCTGTCGGGGCCATCAGGCATATACCCTGCTGCTGCGTGTACTTCTGGGTATCCTGGGCAGGGAGCAGCCTTCCTAGCTAGGATGTTGAAGGACTGGGAGTGTGACCCATAAAGGCTGCTAGACTGATAGCTTTGGGTCTTATTAGCAAACTGGAACTGCATTGTCATGGAGTTTTAAAAACCTAACCTTCTCAACTGAGCCCTGGCCCTTTCTCTGCCTAGGCCATGAGAGCACTGCTCAAATCTGGAGACACAGAGAAAATTGTGTTCTTTGCGGGTGTCTCAAGACAGAAGGAAATCTACATCATGGCTGCCAATTACCTGCAGTCCTTGGACTGGCGGAAGGAGCCAGAGATCATGAAGAATATCATTAGCTTCTACACCAAAGGCCGGGCCTTGGACCTCCTGGCTGGCTTCTATGATGCCTGTGCCCAGGTATAGACCTGCTTCAGGGTTCTAGCAGGATTTCAGGGCCCCAGCAGAGCCCTCTGGGTCCTCATGGGTGTCTTTGGTCCAGGTGGAGATTGACGAATACCAGAACTATGACAAGGCCCATGGAGCACTGACTGAGGCCTATAAGTGCCTGTCCAAAGCCAAGGCCAAGAGCCCCCTGGACCAGGAGACTAAGCTAGCCCAGCTACAGAGCAAGATGACGCTAGTGAAGAGGTTTATCCAGGCCCGAAGGTATGTTTCCTAGAAGATAGCAGGGTAATGGGAAGCTAGTCTGAGGGACCCTTCTCATGTCCTCCAGGCCCTCCATTTATACCCCAAGATTCTCCACTCCCCTTCAGAGGAGTCCAGGCTGACTTTAAGAGGCCAGGCAAAGCTTGTTTTTGCCACAGCTATTCCTCAGGTAATTCTACAGCTAGATAAGATTCACTGTAGCCTGTTTTATCTCAACACCAACTTGGGAGGATTAGTCCACAAAATGTAAAAAGAAGATTGAGCCAGGAGGAGTGAGTCTGAGTCAAGAGATACATCTCAGGGGAGTCTTACACCTGCTCAGGGCTGTCTTAGTTATTTTTCTATTGCTGTGAAGAGACAACATGACCAAGGCAACTTATCAAAGAATTTAACTGGGAGTTTGCTTAAAGTTTCAGTTAGTCCATGATCATCAAGGCCCAGAACACGGCAGACAAGCAGGTGCTGGAGCAGTGGCTGAGAGTTTGCAGCTTAGTCACAAGTTGTAGGCAGAGAGGCTGGGCTTGGCATGGGCTTTCAAAACCTCAAGGCCCACTGGCAGCTTCACACATCTTCCAACCAGGCCACACCTCCTAGTCCTTCCCTAAACAGTTCTACCAAGGAGACAAAGCACTCACATATATGAGTCTATGGGGGCCATTCTCATTCAAAGCACTACAGGGGCCAAGCAGGGGTTTCCCAAGTGAGAGGCCACTGCTGTGCAGGAGACTGTAGCAGGGACTATGGGGTCACAGCACTCACTTCTCTTTTCCTGTATGCAGGAGTGGTGCCTTGTTTCCTTTTTCACTTAGTGGCCAAGAATATACATTTATCCTGATACTCTTGGTTCTTGTCAGATAATTCAGCTATCCAGAATGCCCCTGTGTGGTCAGTATGACATGAGTAAACATCTTTGAGCTTAGCTTCTACCCAGAGAAATATTTTTCTTATCTGAGAAATCCATCAGAAGTTTCAAAAGCTTTTTTTTAGCTTTTCGAGACAGGATTTCTCTGTGTATGTAGCACTGGCTGTCCTGGAACTCACTCTGTAAACCAGGCTGGCCTCGAACTCAGAAATCCACCTGCCTCTGCCTCCCAAGTGCTGGGATTAAAGGCGTGCACCACCACTCCCTGGCTTTCAAAAGCATTTTAAACATGTACACTGTGGGCTCTTTTTAGAAAAGCACCATCCATGAGTCTGGGTGGAGTCAAGACTTGCATCAAGGGTTAGCCCATCCTGAGATGCAGGAAGCAGGGAGGAACACTAGCAGGAAGTAGTCATCAGCCACAAGGATGATACATACATGTGAAAGGGTGTGAGAGACACTGTGAGCAGCCCCAGAAGAGTCAGGGAAGAGCCAGCTGCCTGCTAGGAGCAGCTGTGTCCACACAGTAGAGTCTCTAGAGGTAGGAGCCAGGCACCTTACGGCTCCAAGTCACCCACCCTGCACTAGGCCCATCACCTGCCAGTCACCATTCTAAGCAGTTGTCCACAGACCTCCATGTTCAGGCACGTGTACACCTCTAACAGGAAGGTTCTTCCTAACTGCCATGTTCAAGATCAAGATGGCTCACTTCTCTCCATGCGCCTCCTTCCCATTTGCCCTTTCTAAACAGATCTTGGTTTCAAAACACAGGACCCAGCACTGAAGATGGAGATGCTGAGTGTATGTTAAGTGAACTGATTTATAGTTGAACAAGTTAAGGAATCACATACACACACACACACACACACACACACACACACACACACACACACACAAATATGCCATCTGGCCATTCCATAAAACTGCTCCTGCAGGACAAGTACCCACACCAGCATTTGGCATGCAGTAAGTGTTGTGGATCAGGCTCAGGCCTTGTCTGTCATCTTGTTAGAACATACACAGAGGACCCCAAAGAGTCCATCAGGCAGTGCGAGCTGCTCCTAGAAGAGCCAGACCTGGACAGCACCATCCGTGTCGGGGACGTTTATGGCTTCCTGGTGGAACACCATGTACAGATGGAGGAATACCAGATGGTAAGGCTTACCCACTTCCTGGTGCTCCAAAGCTCAGACCTGGTTGTTGAAACACTGACTAGTTCCTTTGAGGCGACAAGCTAACTGTTCTTGTTTGCTTTCTATTGCTTTGATAAACACCTTGACCAAAAACATCTTAGGACAGAAAGGGTTTATTTCACCTTACAATTCCTAGGTTACAGTCCATCACTGAGGGGAAGTGAGGGCAGGAACCTGGACAAACAGATGCCATGATGGAACACTGTTTATTGGTTTGTTCCCTATAGCTTGCTTTCTTAGACCACCTAGGACCACCTTCCCAGGGGAGACACTACCATCTAGTAAGCTGGGCCCTAATAATGATTATTAATCAAGAAAATTCAGGGCTGGAGGGAGGGAGGGAGGGAGGGAAAGAGAAAGAGAGGGGGAAGGAGGGAGGAAAGGAGGAGGGGGGGGAGAGAGAGAGAGAGAGAGAGAGAGAGAGAGAGAGAGAGAGAGAGAGATGCTTCTGCAGTGAGCTCCATTCAGTTCCCACAACCCACATGATGGCTTCATTGCCATCCATACGTAACCCCAGTTCCAGGGAATCCGACATTTTCATCTGCCTTCCCCAGGTATGGGCCACACACATGCTACACATACATAAAAGCAGACAAAATACATATAAATTTTTGAAAATAAAAAAGAAAATGCCCCACAGACTTGCCTACAAATTAATGTTATGGGGGCATTTCTTCAATTGAGGTTCTCTTCCAAGATGACAAAAAACGAACCAGCACGTTCGCTTTACTCATCCTTGAGAGTGTCTACCAACGCCGTGTTTTTTAACCAGGCTTTAGGATGCTGTTAAGTAGAGTCTCGTGTCGTCCATGCTGGCCTTGAACTATAACTGGTCCTCCTCCTTCCTCTACTCTCCTACTCTCCTAGTGCTCAAATTATAGGTGTGGCCACCATGCTGTGTGTGCAGCACTGGAGACTGACCCCGGTGCTTCCTTCATGCTGGGCACCCTACTCTACTCACTGAGCTTCATCCCCAGCCAGCTTTCATTTCACTAATAAATAAATAATCATGATGTCCTATGTAGAAGTGACTAGCTATGTGCCAGCATTTGTGTGACCATCTTTCACTACCCATCCCCGTGGCTGTCCGATGTACTAAACCAGTCATCTCTCACTGTATGACATGTTCATAGTGGCTCATGTTCTGGACTCATGTCTCTCTGTGGCTGTGACATGTTCACGGTGGCCAATGTTCTAGACGTGCCATCTTTGTGGCTGATGCTAAGCATCTCAGACTTGTCACCCACTTGTCTTCGTAAGGTGTTCCAGACATTCCCATCATCTACTTGGTTTTTGTTTGAGTTGGTTTTTCATTTTCTAAATACACTTCCTGTATCAGATGTGATCTGTTTCAATTCCGCCCTCTCTTTTTCTCTCTTCTTTTTCTCTTTCTTTCCAGCATCTCTTGAAGTTGTAGCCAAAATCTGCTTCCTGTTTAGCCTTTCCTTCTCTTAAATACTACTCTGATGTTGAGCCCACCCAGACTTCTCACCTCAGACTTGGTCATTTGATCCCTGAGTCTGACTTGGAATCTTGCAGACTGGCCCTGCTGTCTCAAGACCCAGTGCCTTCAAGCCCCCAGCAGCTTTTTACCTTTCCTCACAGTGCTCCTTCTTCCTCTAATGTGGCTGCTGCCTTCCAGCCTTCTCTTGAGCTTCTGCCATCCTTGGCTGAGTCCTACGCTTGTCCTTTGACCTTGTGTGCCATGTGCCCACCAGCAGATAGGCAGCTTGTGTTGCCTATACCTTGGGCAGCATTTCCCTTTGGCTCTCGTTCCTTTGGGTCCCGGCCCTGGGGTTTCTGGTTTGATATCGGAACTAGCCAAGCAGCACAATATAGCCTTGTTTCTTCTTTATGGCCCTTACAGATAGTCATCTTCCTATTGTATTTATCCAATAACATCATTCCAAGAGTTTTGTTATACTACGATCTAGCCAGTTATGGTGGCATAGGTCTATAGTTCTAGCACTCAGGAGGCGGAGGCAGGGAGATTACAAGTTCAAGGCCAGCCTAGTGTATTAGTTCCAGGGCAGCCAGGGACACACAGTTAAACCCCCTTTAAAAAAAAAATAGAAGCAGCTAGAAATAATATATACTCATTACTTAAATTTTTGGGTTTTTTTTTGTTGTTGTTGTTTTTCGAGACAGGGTTTCTCTGTGTAGCCCTGTCTGTCCTGGAACTCACTCTGTAGACCAGGCTAGCCTTGAACTCAGAAATCCACCTGCCTCTGCCTCCCAAGTGCTGGGATTAAAGGCGTGCACCACCACTGCCTGGCTTAAATTGTTTTTTAAGCTGATAGGTATTGTGTTCCTATCTTGAATTGATATGCACTTCTAGGGATAAGCCCTAGAAACCCCATAGTCCTCTTTCCTTCCCCACTGTGTGCAGTGCACTTTGCAGATGAACGTGTATATGCAGTAAAGGGAGGTGTAAGTAGGCTTCCCCACGTTAAGCTGAGTCTGAACGGCCCAGCCCCCCACTCTCTAAGCAAGACCTCTGCAAAGCCAAAGAAATCCCAAAGAAACCCACTGATGGTTCCAGTTTGTAGGCCTAAGATCAAGGACTACTCAAGCAGGAGACAATTATAGGCCAAGTGAACCAGGTTAAACCAGATACTTGACCAAAAGAAACAAGAAGCTGAGGACCTAGGTCAGACCCTGCATATATGTTATGGCTGAGTAGCTTGGTGTTCTTGTGGGGCTTCTAAGAGTGGGAGCAGGTGCTCTCCCTGACTCTTTTGCTGGGACCCTGTTCCTCCTGATGGGTTGCCTTGTCCAGCTGTGATGTGATGATGGTATGTGCCTGGCTGTATTGTAGCTTGTGATGCCATATGTGATTGATGTCCCTGAAAGGCCTGCTCTTTTCTGAGGGAAGGCAGGGGGGGTGGGTCTGGGGGAGAGTGGAGGGATGGAGAGACTGCAGTCACGATGTAACATGAGAGATGAATGAAAAAAGGAAGGAGGGAGGGAGGGAGGGAGGGAGGGAGGGAAGGAAGGAAGGAAGGAGCAGCCTGACCTCAGTTTAGCCAAGCACATGCCCCAGAATGGGTAAGAGATCCACCCCTCCTTTGCCAAGTGTCCAGGAGCATCTATGGTAAGCAGACTCCAGAGAGAAAGCAGCTCTAAGCACTCACACCAGGTTTTTGTGTCCTGGCTGTAAGGACCCTCCCTCAAGGACTGCTGTTCATGTTCAGTTTAGGGTTGCCACTCAGAACCTGAAACATGTGACAGTCTCCACACAGAAGTCCTTTACAGATACTGAAGACCCCCAGACCAGTGACCCCAAGGGCCTCTCCAAGTGAAGGTTTTTCTCTTACCTAGAGCAAAGAATGGTTTCCTTGGCCCTGAGAGTGAGCAGGGCACTGATGTTTAGGAAACCTTATTACAAAGAAATGGCATAGTGCCCTTGTTTTCATGGAACTATAGAAGTAACTGGTAGTCACATTTATTGGGTTTCAAGTAACCACTGTTCCTTCTAATCTAGGCCTATAAGTATCTTGAGGAGATGAGGAAAAGACTTCCTTCGGCCAACATATCATACTACGTGGACCAACGCACTGTGGACACTGTGCACCAGGGCCTGGGCCTCCCTCCGTCTCGGATCATGCCTGAGCGGGTCCGCCACAATAGCATGGAGGACCATAAGGAGGTGGACGAGGAGGTGATAGAAGAGGTGGACAATGACCCCTGATGGCCCAGGTGCCCAAACCGGCCAGCATCTTGCAGCTTGTTGTTAGTCATTGGAAGGGCAGCTCTGTTTGTTTGTTTGTTTGTTTGTTACTATTGATTTTAAATTCTGCATTGTAAGCAGAGCAGTGGGCTGTGGAGTCCAGCCACTGCAGCCCAGGAGTACGCAGTTCTGGATTTGCCCCAGTAGTTCTTAGAAGGAAGACGACAGGTGTCTTTAAGTCGTTCCTTCTGCACTCCTGCCTCCGAGTGCTTGGCAGTTCCTGTGGGGTTTGGTTTACTTCCTTTTAAAGGAGGTAGTTTCATTTCCCCCATGGTTTCCCAACAATAGACTCAGAAATTTCTAGAACTTTGTGACATGGGCTACATTTGGTGGCTAGAGACTCTTGTTCCTGTTAACTGCACCTGGAGTTGGCTACTTGATAGTCCCCAGCAGATCCCAGTGCCCCTAAGACCACAGCAAGGACCACCTGGGGCAGGCCTGAGCCCTAAGGACTGTGCCTTTTGTCATCAAGCAGGGACTGGGATGCCAGGCACTATCCACAGCTGTTCACATTCCCATGACTCTAAATAAAGTCCATTTTCTCAGAGTTGGTTCTCTCAAATGGCTAACTTCTCTCATGAGGACCTGTGTACGAGCTAAAGTCCTTGGCAGTGAGAACCACAGAAGCAGCCTGTGTGTTGTCTGCGGCCTGTTTATTCTCACGGCAACACAGTGTTGCAAAGCCCTTGGGGAGCCAGCAGGCTAGCCCTAGTCTGCTGTCCTTCCGTCTCCATCCGAGTATCATAAACACTGAGTAGTTGTCTCTTGTCTTTACTCGTGAGGCCATGGCCATAGAGCCCAAAGTTCTGCTCTCAGGAGGCACGGCTCAGGCCCTACACTCCCAGCTCCGATTCTGTCAAAGGCTGTTGTGTCCAAGACACTGCCCACCCCACCCCCCCAGTAGTTTTAGCTGAACACTTAGCCTGGCCAAAACATAACAGCAGGGGTCAGCCTACTTCATACACACAGGGACCAACTGGCCCCTCCAGACCTGGCTCCCACACAAAGCCCAGGCGTGTAGACTCTGCTCCTCAGAGGTCTTCCCTTCTGCCAGTGCTGATGGCCCAGGCTCCACTCGGGCCCTATGGAGGCTCCTCAGGGCTACGGAGAGGAACTGGACAACAGCTTATCTTTGAGCCTCTCCAGAAGCAGCAGAGCCCTTACTGCCAGCTCCCTACAGTCCTCGTCCACATCCTTCTCGGCCACATCTGCCAAGGAGAAATAGAGGACGCGTGAGTGACAGGGCAGGGCCAGTTAGTGCCTGTCTGCTCCTCCACACTGTTCCTGGAGCCACCCCGAGGCCTCTCTCTGATGTCCACCACAGAGGTCCAGCTCCACTGGAGGATCAGGGTCAGACAGATCAGGTGCTTAGTTCAGCAGCCCAAGCACTGACCTGGTTAAAAGCAGTCAGAGAATACAGCCTGGGGGATCTACCTAGCACATGAACCTGAGAAGAACCTGGCCTTGCCCAAGATGGCCAACAGCACAGGGAACTTGGGGAATAATGGGTGGTACCTCCTGTGACTAACCATCAGAAAAAGCAAAGCAGTAGAAGACACATAGGCCCAGGCCTGCCCAGGAGTCCTGTGGAAGCCACAGTTTGACCATGTATCAGGGTTAATCACAAAGCCTATCGGAAGCTGGAGCTCTGGATATATCCTCCCCAGTGGGTCCCAGGACAGTTTTGGGTGAAGAGTGAGAGTCTGCAGCTGACTTTTAAGAATACGCAGAGACTTGAAACACAAAGGGTAGCAAATACTCCAGAGAGGTTCTAGACGGAAGTCTCCAGCATTTGCTACCTCCATGTAACCTGTCTGGATTTGATTTTAAACAAGTCTCAGAATGTACGCCTGGCTGGCCTAGCACTTACTATGTAGACCAGGCTAGCCCTGAACTCACAAAGTTCCATCTGTCTCTGCTTCCCAAGTGCTGGGATTAAAGGTGTGTGCTACTGTGTCTGGCGTTGGATTTGGGACTCTTCTGAGTTGTTTTTTGAAACCTAAGTAATAGCCCCAAAGAAACAGAGTAACAATTGTCCCCTGGTTCCCTACACTCATGTCATCATGCCTCTCAGAGCCAACACAGGACAGACCCACTCAGACTGGCTGGCCTAGCCCCATCTACTCCAGCCACTCCACACCTTGTGTCTTCTGGTCCAAACACTAACCTGCCAACCAGGATCTGGCTTCCAGTAGCTCATCTGGCAGGTCCCCCAGCAGCCGCTCTGTGGGTACACTGAGGAGGACAGAGGACACAGCAGACAGCAAGCCCCGGCGCACGTAACTACCAATCAAGAGGGTAGGGAAAGGTGAGGTCTAGCTCTGTGGAGCCCCAACTAACCTACCAGAAGGACCTCCCACATGTACCGGGTCCAGCAGGCCCACTGCAACACAGCCCCCTCAGACATGACTGACTACTTGTTAGGAAATATCAGGCATGCTGCCTTGGAGACTCTATGCTGCCCTTAGCCCCATGGGCTACTCACATGTCAACGTGGAAGCGAAGGGCCCATACAAACTCCAGCAGGGCTTTCCCCATAGGCACAGCCACCTAGAAGTCAGCACAGGGACAGCTGGGGAGGGGTTGCTGTGTGCATTTCCAGCACGTACACCAAAGACAGGATCCCACTGAGTCAGGGTGCGCCTCTGCATGGGGGCACATGCAATGCTTCATGGAGCTTTGCAGACTGCCCCTAGGGACAAAGGCAGGGGAAGGTGTATTCTGAGGGTCCAGTGCTCATGTTATGACCTTGACCATCCTGTACTACCCACAGGTGTGGATGGACAAGCCACACAGCGCTACAGCTGCACTGCTGTGGAACTATGTAGCAGGGCTTTCAGTTCCCAGTCCCAACTCACTGTGGTGTTAACAGCCAGGTACATCAGGGATGCTAAGGTGTGGGTCAGTCTTCCAAGTACCAACTGATCATCTCCTAAAAGGTCAAAGGTCACCAGAGGCCTACAACATAGAGCCGAGTGAGTGGGGCAGCCCCAACACCTAATGTTTGGCTGATAAGAGCCCAGAATGAGTGCTACGACAGAAGCTCAAACCCTTAAAAGCTCACATAGTGGTCCTCCCACCTTCACACCCTGGGGCAGTGTGGCAAAGGACAAGCCATAAGGGGGAGGCATTTCCAAATGCCTCAGCACACCGCGTGCTGCCAGGCACAAGCCAGGCCCTGAGTCACGATCACACTCTAGGTTGTCACTGGAATCTCACAGGCTGAGCATGGGACGAAACTCAGCTGCAGAGATGGGAGGAGGTAGCCAATGGGTGAGCAGTAGGCCAGCAGCATGACAGCATCTTCATAAATCCAAGATCAAAGAACACAGTAATGATAATGTCCTCACCACAGAACTCAACAGCAAAGGGACCTTCCAGAATATTCCATGCCATTTAACTCAAGCTTATAAAATAATTCAAGCCCACACTTATACCCTACTGTGTCACAACTACTGTTCACAGGAGTATGTCTAAAGTTCCAGAAACTTCACCTGTCAAAATGCTGAAGGAGGGGGAAGAAGAAGTAACCAGCCACAGAGTTGAATTCATTGGGGACACCTGACAGCTCCCTCCGAGGACAGCCCTGTCAAACACACAGCATTAGTCAAGGTTCAATGCACCACCTAATGGAGTTGTACAGCTCCTTGGGCTTGCCCTGGCCTCCCTGGGTCAGGACCCTGTGGAGAGGGCACTTAGTCTCAGGCTACTGTGGTCTGACAGCAAAGAATTCCAACCGTGCACATCAACCATGCAGAGCTAGATAGTCCTCAACACGGGATGACCTGTGCCTTGTGGCAAACCAAATAGCCTGGTCTTCAGCAGCCACGAACTGCACTCAAAGTATCTCCAGACACCACAGTCCCAGGGTAATTTTTTTTTGTTTCTGATGTGGCACTCCTGAGACCTGAATCTTCACTTCTATGTTTTGTTTTTTAAAAAAAATATTTTATGTATATGAGTACATTGTAGCTGTCCTCAGACACACCAGAAGAGAGCATCGGATCCCATTACAGATGGTTGTGAGCCACCATGTGGTTGCCGGGAATTGAACTCAGGACCTCTGAAAGGGCAGTCAGTGCTCTTAACCACTGAGCCATCTCTCTGGCCCATTTCCATGTTTTAAAATCATGTTGGTCTGACACGCTTCAGTTTGTACATAAACTTTTGCAAGAAGGAGCACCAACACTGGAGCTGACCCTGCCTATGACTGGGTTCCCTTCAGTCAGCCAACACTTAGAGCTGCATCAGATCTCAACCTGTGGGTCACAAGCCCTTTCAGGTTGCAGATCAGATAGATACCCTGCATATCAGATATTTACATTACAACTCATAACAGTAGCACACTAACAGTTAGGAAGTAGCAATGAAATTATCTTATGGTTGGAGGTCATGACAACATAGGACCTGAACAGAGTCCTGCTACCTTGGAGAACCTCCGGGTCTTGCTTCTGATCCGCTCCTCCACAACCGTCTGCCAGTCAGGAGCCACAGCATTGCCAGGCTGAGAAATGGCTGGTGCTGGTGAACACAAGGTGCCAGAAGCAGGGGACCTGTGCTGGGAAAGTCTCTGGAAGCCCCTTGGCCGAGACAGTGCCTGGGCAGCCAGAACAAGGACCTAGAGAAAGAAGATGCAGATAGCAGGGACTGGAGAGATGCCGAGAGGTTTGGAATACTCACTTTCCTGGCTGAGGACTCAGGTTTGCTTCCCAACACCCACACCTTTTCTGGTTTCCACAGGCAGCTCACATGCATATTACACTAACATACATGTAGACAAAACACTCATACACATAAAATAATAACCGAAATGTTGAAAAAAAAAGACTCAGACTATGTATCTCTGAGGAAGAATGCTCTTCAAAAAGTGGGTTAGTATCCAAGTATCCACAAAAGCTCTGCAGCCATAGGAAGAACATTTGGTTTATCCTATAATGATAAATTTCATCTTGTATACCAATACAAGTGTTATCTAAAATATACATCAGAGCTGGTTAAGATTTAGTGGTTAAGGATGCCAAGTGTCCTTGTAGAGGACTAGAGTTCAGTTCCCACCACCAATGTTGGATGGCTCTCCACCACCTGTAATTTCAACTCCAAGGAATCCCTCACCCTCTTCTGACCTCCACAGCACTGCACACAGCATGTGCATACTCACAGACACAGGCACATGCATATGAATACAAACCACACAAACGGGGCCAACAAGGTAAGAACACACACACACAAACCTATTTTAAAGCCACACAAACAAAAGACAATACTCTGCCACCAGCTCTCAGCCTCATACTGGTGACCTGTGGTCAGTAGACAGAAGTGCTTTCAGAAGAAAGTGTGGGGTGACCTTTGGCTACAGTCCATGCAGATCAACCTTCCAACTTAGTGCAGCCTGGGCCTGACAGGACCAGGGGTCTGGGTCACTTACATCTAGGATGTCCATGCGCTGCCGGAGGCTATAGTTCAGGCCATAGAACTGTGAGGTCAGATACTTGGCTACCTGGGTAGACAAAGGAGAAGCCACTGTGCTAAAGCTCTAAGACTACCCAA